AGATGCAAAAATGCTTAACAAAATACTAGCAAACTGAATTCAACAACAAATCAAAAATATTCATAATGATCAAGTGGAATTCATCCCAGGGATGCAAGGATGATTAGAACATGCAAATCAATCAGTGTGATACATCATATCAATAGAACAAAGGACATAAACCATATGATTGTTTCAACTGATGCTGAAAAAACATTCGATACAATTCAACATCCCTTCGTGATAAAAACTCTCAAAAAACGGGATATAGAAGGAACTTACCTCAACACAATAAAAGCCATCTATGACAGACCCACAGTGAATATCATACTGAGTGGGGAAAAACCAAAAGCCTTTCCTTTAAGATCTGGAACAAGACAAGGATGCCCACTTTCACCATTGTTATTCAATGTAGAACTGCAAGTTCTAGCTAGAGCAATAAGACAAGAGTAAGAATAAAGGACATCCAAATTGGAAAGGAAGAAGTCAAATTATCCTTGTTTGTAGATGATGTGATCTTATATCCAGACAAACCTAAAAACTCCACACACACACAAAAAGCTATTAGAACTGATAAACAAATTCAGAAAAGTTGCAGGATACAAAATCAACATACAAAAATCGGTAGCATTTGTATTTGCCAACAGTAAACAATCTGAAAAAGAAACCAAGAAAGTAATCCCATTTACAATAGCTATAAATAAAATAAAATACCTAGGAATAAACTTAACCAAAGAAGTGAAAGATCTCTGTAACGAAAATTATAAAACATTGATGAAAGAAATTGAAGAGGACACCAAAAAATGGAAAGCTATTCCATGCTCATAGATTGGAAGAATCAATACTGATAAAATGTCCATACTACGCAAAGCAATCTACAGATTCAATGCAATCCCCATCAAAATACCAATGAAATTGGGAGGGGGGAGAAGGGAGGAGGGGACGGGTATTTGTATACACAAGGAGTGCAATGCGCACCACCCGAAGGATGGACATATTTGAAACACGGACTTGGGGAGGGGACCAAGGGGAACATACGTAACCTAAACATCTGTACCCCCATAATATGCTGAAATAAAAGAAAAAAAAAATACCAATGAAATTCTTCACAGGAATAGAAAAAATAATCCTAAAATTTATATGGAACCACAAAAGACCCAGAATAGCCAAAGCCATCCTGAGCAAAAAGAACAAAACCGGAGGAATCACATTACCCGACTTCAAATTATAGAGCTGTAGTAATGAAAACAGCATGGTACTGACATAAAAGCAGACATATCGATCAATGGAACAGAATAATGAACCTAGAAATAAATCCACACATCTATAGTGAACTTGTCTTTGAAAAATGTGCCAAAAACATACAGTGGGGAAAGGACAGTCTCGTCAATAAATGATATTGGGAAAACTGGATATCCATATGTAGAAGAATGAAACTAGACGCTTACCTCTTGCCATATATAAAAAATAGAATCAAAATGGATTAAAGACTTAAATCTACTACTGGAAATTATGAAACTACTAAAAGAAAACATTGAGGAAATGATTCAGGACATTGATCTGGGCAAGGACTTCTTGAGTAATATCGCCAAAACACATGGCAACCAAAGCAAAATTGGACAAATGGGATCACATCAAGCTAAAAAGCTTCTGCACAGCAAAGGATACAATCCACAAAGGGAAGAGACAACACAGAGAATGAGAGAAAATATCTGCAAACTACCCATTTGACAAGAGATTAATAACTAGAATATATAAGGAGCTCCAACAACTCAATAGGAAAAAAATCAAGTAATCTGATTAAAAAAATGGGAAAAGGATGTGAATCGACATTTCTCCGAAGACGTCATACAAATTTCCAACAGGTATTTAAAAAAATGTTCAACATCATTAGTCATCAGAGAAATGCAAATCAAAACTACAATGAGATATCATCTCATCCCAGTTAAAATGGCTTTTATCAAAAAGATAGGCAATAATGAATGCTGGTGAGGATATGGAGAAAGGGGAACCCTTGTCCCCTGTTTGTAGGAATGTAAATTATTACAACCACTATGAAAAACACTATGGAGTTTCCTCAAAAAACTAAAAATAGAACTACTGTATGATCCAGCAATCCCAATATTAAATATATATCCAAAGTAAGGGAATTCAGTATATCAAAGAGATATCTGTTCTCCCATGTTTATTGTAGCACTATTCACAACAGCCAAGATTTAGAATCAACCTAAGTATCCATAAACAGATCAGTGGATAAAGAAATTGTGGTATATATACACAATTGAATACTATATAGCCTTAAAAAAGAATGAAATTCTCCCACTTGCAACAACATGCATGGAACTTGAGAAAATTATGTTAAGTGAAAGAAGCCAAGCACAGAAAAACAAATCTCGCGTGTTCTCACTCATATGTGGGAGCTAAATATTAAAAACAATTGATCTCATGGAGACAGAAAGTAGAATAATGGTTACCAGAGGCTGGGAAGGGTAGTGGAGGGGGGATAAAGTGGGTATGGTTAATAGGTACAAAAATAGTTAGTTAGAATGAACAGTATTTGATAGCACAACAAAACAACTATAATCAACAATAAATTCGGGTGTACTTTATAATAACTAAGAGAGTGAAACTGGAGTTCCTAACAAAGAAATGATAAATGTCTGAGGTGACAGATCATTTATCTTGATTTGATTAATTCACATTGTATGCCTGTATGAAAATATCACATGTACCCTATAAATATATGCAACTATTATGTACCTATAAATATAAAAAAAAATCATGAAGGCAATCTCATTTACAATAGTTACAAAAAATATATATAAAATACCTAGAAATAAATTTAACCAAAGTGAAATATCTCTACTAGGAAAACTACATAATGCTGATAAAAAAAAATTTAAGAGGACACAAACAAATGAAACAGCATTCTGTGCTAATGGAATAAACGAATTTATATTGTTTAAATGACCATATTATCCAAAGCAATCTACAAATTCAATACAACCCCAATTAAAATACCAATGACATTCTTTATGGAAATAGAAAAAAGAATTCTAAATTTCATATGAAACCAAAAAAGAGCCCAAACAGCCAATGCTATCTTGAGCAAAAAGAACAAAGCTGGAAGCATCACACTGTCCAACTCCAAAACATACTACAAGGCTATATTAACCAAAACAGCATGCTATCACTATGAAAACAGGCACATAGACCAATGGAACAGAATAGAGAACCCAGTAATAAATCCACATATTACAGCCATCTGATTTTTGCCAAAGGTGCCAAGAACCTACATCCTCTTTAATAAATGCTGCTGGCAAAACTGGATATTCATATACAAAAAAAAAAAAAAAAATGAAACTAGACCTATATCTCTCACCATATACAAATCTCAACTCAAATGTATTAAAAACTTAAATATAAGACCCCAAACTATATAACTACTAGAAGAAAACATAGGAGAAATGCTCCAGAACATTGGTCTAGGCAAAAATTTTAAGGCTAGGACCTCAAAAGCATAGGCGACAAAAACAAAAATAGATAAATGGAACTATGTTAAATTAAAAAACTGCACAGCAAAGGAAACAATCAACAGAGTTGAACAATCTGTTGAACGGGAGAAAATACTTGCAAACTATTCATCCAACAAAGGACTAATATCCAGAAAATACAAGGAACCCAAACAACTCAACAGCAAAAAAAAAAATAAATAAATAAATAAATAATCCCATTAAAAAGTGGGAAAGGATCTGAACAGACATTTCTCAGAAGAATGGCCAACATGTATATGAAAAAATGCTCAGTATCACTACTCATCAGGGAAATGCACATCAAAAACTACAATGAGATATCATCTTATCCCAGGTAGAATAGGTATTATCAAAAAGACAAAAAATAACAAATGCTGGCAAGGATATGGAGAAAAGGAAACACTTATACACTGTTGGTGGGAATGTAAATTAGTACAGCCATGATGGAGATTTCTCAAAAAAACTAAAACTAGAACTACCATATATTACAGCAATCCCACTACTAGGTATTTATCCAAAGGAAAGGAAATAAGTATATTAAAAGGATACCTACATACCCGTATTTATTACAGCACTATTCACAATAGCAAAAATATGGAATCAACCTTAGTCTATCAACAGATGAATGGATAAAGAAAATGTGGTATATACACACGATGAAATACGTTTTTTGACCCACAAAAAAAGAATGAAGTCCTGTCATTTGCAGCAACATCAATGGTATTGGAGGTTATAATGTTAAGTAAAATAAGCCAGGCACAGAAAGACAAATATTGTATGTTCTAACTCATATGTGGGAGCTAAAAAAGTAGGTTTGATGGAGTTAGAGTGTAGAATGATAGTTACCAGAGGCTGAGAAGGGTGTGGGGCTTGGAGGATGAAGAGATATAGGTGAATGGGTACAAATATATGGTTAGATAAAAGGAATAAGTTCTCATGTTCAATAGCACAGTAGGGTCACTATAGTTAACAACAATATATTTAATATTTCAAAATAGCTAGAAGAGAAGATGTGAAATGTTCCCAACGCAAAGAAATGATAAATATTTGAGGTGATAGATATCCTAAATACCCTGACTTGATCATTACACATTCTATGCATGTATCAAAATATCACATGTACCCCATAAATATGTAAAAGTGTGTATCAATAAAAAAAATTAGAAGATATAGTACTTAACAATGGTAAAAGAATCAAATTGTTTTTCATCTGTTCATATATTGCAAATATTATTCTCTACACCACTTTGGTTTTCCTTTTGACTTCTTCATAATTTCAAATTATCTGGGGAGTTTCCAGTTATCTAGATATTGAACTCAAAGATGAACATAAGATGATAAACTCTTAGCCAAGCTCTTAGGAAAGCAAAAGAGTCAGTAGTCATAGTCTCAAACATCATACAAACTTACATGTAGCAATGTAGTTATTTACACATAAATGATCAACCATGGCCAGATAAAGTCAAAGAACTCTAGTTATAGTATTACCTTTGACCAATTGATTCTCTTCATGGACACTTCAGGTTTGTATAATTTTTTCTGCTTCATTCCATAAGGTAGATCAAATGATGTTCCTGGGGGAAGAGGAATTCCTCCAAGGGGCGGTGGTGGAGGGGGCCCCCCAAACAAAGGTGGTGGTGGTGGTGGTGGTATCCCAGTCATTTCAGGTAAAGGAGGCGGGGGAGGAGGAGCAATTACTCCAGGTAGAGGTGGTGGTGGTGGAGGTGGTGGTGGAGACAGGCCAGCTCCTGGCAATGAAGGTGGTGGAGGAGGACCTAGATTTCCTGATGAAGCTGAGAGTCCATGTCCCTGAAATATAAAAAACCCAAGTTGAATGCTTCTAAAATATAGCACAAAGAATACATATTGGTAGACATTTGTGGTTTAAGATGATATATGCCTTATTTAATTTTTAAGATTATATACACTTTATTTAGATGTTGCTAAATACTTAAGATAAATACTTAAGATAACATCTAAGGGTTTAATAGTATTAATACATGAAAAAGTATTGTGTAGATTTTTGATAAGCATTATAAACTCTAAACAATGACTAGTTCTGCTAATACGCTAATGCTGGGAAAGTTGGTATCTTACAAAATTTTGTGAAATATTTTTCCAAAATAATGAAAAATTACCTTTCACTATAAATATATGCAAAGAAGTACTGTATATGGCTTGCACCTATTAGACTACTTGGTTTTGAATATAAGATAATTAATACAAGGTTATGGATTCAATTCCCTTGGGGGCCAATTAGCTTTA